ACTTATCAAAGTGGTAAAAATGAACACATTCATCAGAAAACCCAAAGATATAGCCTCCCTGTAACAAACAAAAAGCAGGAGCATATAAAGTTAAAATTATGCTTAGTAATCAATGTTTCAGGATTCTTACTTATAAATGACCTAGGTATCCAATGACTCTCTGTGAATGAACTCAATTTAATATCAGTCCAAGGGGTTAAGTCAACAAAAGATGTCGGAATTTATCATCAAGGTAACATACTACAAAACATAGTTACCGCTGAAATAAAGTTTGTCAGAATAATAATTAAATTTGGTTAAACACAAATTTGCATTTGTCATAACCTTAAACATTAAGTAGATCTAATGTTAGCTTATTTGATTGGTAAACCTATAAAGTTTAGGAAGAACATACCTAAGTAGAATAAAAAATTCATGCCTAACGCTCATAACTCAGACAAGACATAGCTGTTTTTATTAAACCAAAAAACATTAAACTAGTCTCATTTGCCAAAGATTTACCTAAATTATGTTGTTTTACTCAGATCGGGCTGCTATAACAAATGACCATAGACTTGGAGGCTGAAACATCAAACGTCTATTTCTCACAGTTGTGGAGGCTGAAAGTCCAAACGCAGGGTCCTAGCATGGTCCATTTCTGGTGAGGGCCCTTTTTCAGGTTACAGACTGCCAACTACTCCTTCTATCCCTGATGCCGCAGAAAAGGCTCTGGTGAGGCCTGATTGTCAGCCTCAAATTATCCTGCTCTCTTACCACCTTCTTGACTCCAGCACAGGAATGAATTTAAGAGCAGAGTCACAGTAGAAGATGAAATCAGGTTTAATGGAAGGAATAAGAGATACAGACTTCACACAGAAAGTGCGGCCTAGCTCCAGAGACTGAGCAGGGCCCACACCAAGTTTAACACAAAAGTAAGAGAATTACATTTAAAGTTCAGTACAGAGTGCAGGCTGGCTCAAGAGAGTGAGCAGCCTCTTGCTGAAAGTAAGTTTGATACAAAAACAAAGAAATACATATTCCACAGGCAGAGCACTACCTGGCCCTAGGGAGAGTCAGCAACAGCCCCACCTTCTGCCGGGATTCAGCTTTTATACTTTCACTGTCTAATACATACTCACGCTACCTAAGGAATATTCAGCTAAGGGGATGGTCTTCTAGTATGTAACATAGTCTTGCACATGGTCACTTGGTCTCCTTTTAGGGCATGTTTATTAGTCAAATCCTGTCACACGCACCAGTCATAGTCAAGAATATTCTGTGCTCTTTAGCACCTCTAGCGGAATGTCATTCAAAAGAGAAACTCCCTTCCACTGAACATGCTCCGTCACTGTGGTCACACAGGCTGGTATAAATTCCTTTTACTGAGAATGCTCAGCTACTGGATTCGCATAAGTCTGCCCCTTGTGGTCTCAATCTCCCTCCCTTGTTGGTGCCAAAAATAGGTGCAGCAAGCAACAGTAACTCTCCTCCAGGGGAGGAGAACAGGGATCCCTTAAATTTACAAAACTTAATAATCTACTTCAAACCTTTCAGAGGCAGGAAAACATTATACACCCTGTATCAGTCCATTTTTGTGCTGCTATAACACTACACCTGAAACTGGGTGATTTATAAAGAAAAGAGGTTCATTTGGCTCACGATTCTGGGACAGCTGCATCTGGTGTGAGCCTCAGGCTGTTTCTTTTTTGTTTGTTTGTTTTTTCTTCTTCGTCCTTTTTTGAGATACCGGCCGCACCCGCTCAGCCAGTGAGCACCGTGAGCGCACCGGTCATCCCTAATAGGATCCGAACCCGTGGCGCGGGCTTGGTCCCCCAGGCTGTTTCTACTCATGGTGGAAAACTGCAGGCAGCCGGCGGGTATAAGTAGATCAGATGGTGAGCGGAAGCGAGAGCGAGAGCGAGAGCGAGAGAGAGAGAGAGAGAGAGAAACTCTATCACATGCACACAGAGGTAGGGACCTTTCTGAGTTACACATAGACATACAGAAAAATAGAGCATATAACTTCAACTCTAACATTTTACGTATAAATCAAGAGTAAATATAGAAACTCAAAAACTCACCAATTCAGATATCAAAGAGCTGTTTTCACAGTGGGAATCAGATTCTTATTGATTTGAGCTCAAAGTAGACAGACAAACAGAAAAGACTCACAAATAAGACCGCTGTCTCAACCTAATATCTAATAGAGATTAGATATCTGGAAAGATTAATCCTTTTATAGAGATAACCAAGTGGTCAGATCGTCAAGCCAAATTCCCAACAGAGATAACCAAGTGGTCAGATTGTCAAGCCAAATTCCCAAACATTGATACTACCAGTGGGGAATAATTCAGCTAAAAACAAACCGAAACCAAACAAACATACAAAATTGGTACAAGGGGAAATCACTAAAAAACAGAAAATCAGCAAAGTTCTATTGCCACTTTGGACTCACCCCTAGGAGCCAGGAAAAGACGCGCGTGGACTTCAACAAATCGGCGTGCGCCTCTCTTGATACGACGTTTACTTGGTTCTGTTAGCTTGAATCTACTGGGGATCTCTCAGAAGACAACCACACCCATTAAAACATAAAGATAATATCATGATTCTCATACATATAAAAGAAAGATCGCGTGCTAAATATTTTTATTAATTTCAAAAGAAACTGGCTGTTTTAACGGCTTGAAAAGATAATCTGATCAGGACTATTGAAGTGACTACGTAAGTGGAGAAATGGAGAGAAAACTGGATTTTCTCTGGTGGCGATGGGGGGAAGTCAGCTAACTTCCACCAGACAGAACATAATTTGCGTCAGTTACCCACAGTTTTTAAAGGGGTTGTAAAATACCTCAAAAATAATCAACCGAGCTGGAATTAAATAACACCATCTTCCAAACAATACTGTTTTCCATAGAAACAAAATTATTTTTCTACACCCATCATCCTCTTCAGGAAGTAAAGTGATGGGTAATTTTCTTTTTTCAATTTTGTGTGTATTTTCTGATTTTTCTACAGAGGTCATGAATTAAAAATGGTTTGAAAAAGCTGGATTTCTTTTTCCCTTGTAGGTAGGAGGAAGGTGTCTGGTTTTAGGCTAATACTCTATTATTTCACCGCTGGGCTCTGTTTACTAATATTTTAGTTAAATGTCTCATTCGTGATCATAAGCCAACATCATGCAGCTCTCTCCCTTATTTATCACGGTTGTGCGCGGACACATTCTAAAAGTTCATCTCGCAAGGAAAGAAGAGGACTGGCCAGGACCCAATTAGCTAACACGCTGCGTAAGCAGAGCGTTTCTACACATTCCCTTAAAGACATTCAAGACATTCCCAAGAAGACATTTTCTTTAACTAAGGAGAAAAATGAGCCCCGGGTTTGGGGCCAATCCTAATTATACAACGCCTCTTAACCTCTAGACGAGGTATAGACATTTTAGACGTTCCCTAAATGTGGTGCCGCTTAGATGTATGGGAAATAGAGTCCCGCTACTTATCCTGGGACCTGTGGTGGGCCCCGGGAGACGGACTTCCGGTGCCCTCCTGCGCATGTGCATCTCGCCCTGTGTGCGTGTTCACGCATGCGCACAGCCGCCGCATTGCCCTCGCTTCCTGTCCATCTCTACAGGTCACCGCTCGCCCTCGTTCCTAGGCTTTGGCCTCTGGTGGGCGAGAATCGCGGATCTTGCAGGGTTAGGCGCCGACCGGCCGGGCCAGCACCCAGGCGGGAACGGGGCTGTGCAGGGCAGGGTTCTCACAGGCCAGGCGGAGCTCGGGCGGGGAACCCAGAGCGCCAGCCCCGGATCCCTGTGCGCTGGGGCCGAGGGGACGGGCAAACAGTGGCAGCAGCGGCGAGGGGGCTTAGCCGAGGCTCCGCGGGACGGTGAGTCCCAAGGGAGGCAGATTTGGGCCCTGGGAGGGACGCTCGGCCTCAATGTGTCCCGTAGGCCCAGACACGGTCCCTTGGGAACAGAACGGCTTGGTGAGTTGGACAGGAGGAGACCCGGGAGCAGAAGCGCCCCTGCGAGAACAGCCCCCGCCCGGACCTCTCGGGAGCCTTGGGGCAGAGGCTGCGGAGCCCCAGGAGGGTAGGCGGTGGATTTGCGGGCCCGGAGTGAGCAGGGCTCGGGAGAAGTCACCGCGAGCCGAGGTCATTAGAGTTGGGACAGGGGAGGTTTTGATCGCTTCTAGGAAAGACGTGTGGCTGGGTGTGAGGATATGGGCTGACCGCACCGGAATAGGTGCTGCACGGGAGGCTCTGTGAGGACAAGGTTTATCGGGGGAGTAGGGGGTCAACGGCCTCAATTGCGGACTTTGTTTCCACTCCTCCCTCCACGTCCCTAACACACTTTCCTTCTCTCACCGCTCCAGATTCTGAACGTGTCTCTAAACGTCCGTCATCACCGCTGTTCTCTATGTGTCTGCTTTTCCCCCTCAGGTCTGCCTTTGTAGAATCATAGAGTGAAGTGATTAAGAGATAACCCACTTCAAGGGTTATCTCTTCCTGCCTCAGTTGCTAGAGGAAGAGATTGGGCCTGAGAAGCGGTTGACTTGTCCAAGGTTGTAGGTGGAATTGCTAGTACTAGAACTCAGGAGCCTTATGTCCCAGACCAGTGTTCTGTCCACCCTATGCCAGTTTTCTTCATCAAAGATTGTTATATGCAGCGGTAACCAAGTTTAGTCAGATAATTTAAAAATAAAACCACGCCTTATGCACATTAATCCCACTTTTGAGAGCTCAAATTCTCCATTCCTGTAGCTTCTTTGATTTTAAGCAATTTAAGGAGACAAGAAAATATGTGAGCACTATAACGGATTTTTTTTTCTCCTTGTATCTAATGATGACAGACTATTTGAAAACGGATTCAATTTTTATATTCACCAATGATGAGAGTCTAACCCATCTAATTACCCCCTAATTATATTGGAGTTACAAAGGCACAGATGTGTTATTCCTCTGTTTCACCCTTTTAGGCCCTTCTGAGCTTCCACAGGGTGGTACTTTATCCAGCTTTTTTTGGTGGTTCTTATGCAGAAGATTGCTGCCTAGTCAGGACAGATCACTCAACTTCAATTACCTGGTTTTCCTCCCCTAGGTCTACCATCAATAGTCTTTACTTTTCTAAGAGAAGCAGAAAATGAACAGATTGCAGGTGAGTTTTCCTGTTTGTATATATGTTTCCCCACTTTGTTTTGTAATGCATTTCACGAGGTTTATAAGGATCCATACTTTAAAACGGGAATGTAGAAATAGACGAAAGACATTATCAGGTAAAATACAGTTATACTGGCAGATCAGCACCAAGAATCTTTTGTCAGGTTCACATGTGAAGGTTGTATGATACTTTAGGTCTACTGAAGTTGAGCTGCAAATATGACTCTGATGTTCTTGACAGTCATGAAAAACGAAAATAACATCTATTACATTATTGACTATAAGAAAAAACCATTTTTGTTACTTGTGGGTTTTAAAGATTTCCTAGAACTTGGAAAAATTGCTTTGTTAAAGTTGATATTATTGTAGATAGCTTTCCTAATAACAATCACATTAAATCTTTGCAGTAAATGGCTTACACTTGTCACTTATGTAAGCAAAGGGCCTGCTGCTCAAGGAGAACTTGGTTCACAGAATTTTTCCAGGGACCATAATATTGTGATCAAAATAGACATATTACTATTTTTACTGTTTAATGCAGGGATAAGACCTAGATCATGGGAGAATGAACTGATCATCCTTCAAATATTTCTATTAGTCTGTTCATATGGGTTGCCCAGCAAACAATACAAAAAGGTATTTATTCTCTTGTAAAAGATTTCCTCACTTCCCATTCCCATTTCAGTTCTCAGTGTTTTGGTTTTGTCCTTACCCCTTTCCTGAATCTGTTGGTGAAAATTACCAGTGATTTAGTTATGGTCCAATCCATTGGACATTTTCATTTTCCAGTTCTTACTTCACGTGACACTTCATCTATCTTCCTTTGACATCTGTTATTTACAAAGTGATATTTTCTTCATGAAGTCTCCCTTTTCTTGGCTTCTAAGAAAATTCCTCTGTTAGTATTTCTATATGTGTCTTTAAATGATAAGGAGCCTTTTTTTTTTTTTGAGACCGGCTGCACCGCGCTCAGCCAGTGAGCGCTGTGAGCGCACCGGTCATCCCCATATAGGATCCGAACCCGCGGCGGGAGCACTACTGCGCTCCCAGCGCCACACTCTCCCGAGTGCCACGGGCTCGGCCCGATAAGGAGCCTTTTTAAAAGGCGGTAGGGATAATCCACATTCTTAATATGTAATATCTGGTGTTCAAAGTCTCAGTTTTCTAAAATAAATTTTATATTCTTTTTTGTCAGGATACAAATAGAATCCATGTGATACAGTTGGTCGATAAGTCTTTTAAATCTTTTAGGAGTAATTCATTCTTCTAGAATGTTTCTTGTGTTCCTTGCCATTTATTTTTGAAGAAAGTTGGTTGTTTATCCTCAGTTTCTGAGTTTGAATTGTGTTGCCATTATTTGACTTTTAACACATCTTTTTTTAGATTCCTTATACACCTTTTTTATTCTTAGTACACCTTGTAAAACTGGTGGTTTGATCTGGAAGTGTAGTCAGATTTATGTTTGGTTCTTTTGGCAAGACTGTGTTGTACATGGCATTTGTTTACATTCTTCTGGAGGCATGTATTATCTTGTATTTGTTTTGGTGAGGTCAGCATCTATTGATTGGTGGTTATTGCTGTGATCCACTAAATCATTAAAGGAGGCAAAATGGTGATCTGCTAATTCTACCATTCTTTTTTTACTTGCTAAAATACTTTTCTAAAGATAAACTCTCTCCATTTAGTTATATAATTTATACAGGAAAGGCAGTTTTCAAATTATTAAGTTCCTGAGCAGCGAGTTGTTTTGTTTTGTTATCATTATGAGCTCATGGGCTTAAACATATTTCAAGTGTTTCAGTACATTTAAGTTGTGAGTTTTAAAAAATTAATTTATTTATTTTTCTGGGATTTAACATCAGAATGAAGTTGTGATTCTTTCTGATGTTTAAGTGATTCCATCTTTGGCTGGGGGAATCCCTTTAAGTTGATTTCTAAGTCCTTTTGAAATACCCCGTATATATTTGATAGCATTCTTTTTTGTTGAACATTTAGTTTTGAAATAATTTCAAATTTACCAAAACGTTGTAAGGATTGTAATAAAAAAAATCCCATATTCCTTTTGTTCTGACACTTCAATTCTTAACTTTTTCCCACTTTTGCTTTATCATTTATCTGTGTGTGTGTAGATAGATACACATAGTCGTGTATATGTGTACATATATGGTTCTTTTTAGTGTCATAGTTATGCCCCTTTACCCTGTAATGTTTCAGATCGTACCTCCTAAGATCAAGAATATTCTCTTACATAACCATTACACGGTTATTGAATTCAGGAAATCTAACATTGATATAATACTTTTATCTAAACTCTAGTTTATATTCCAATTTCGCCAGTTTCCCAGTGATTTCCTTTATAGAAATTTTGTATTTCTGGAATACTACATGAAACCTTTTAAATTTATGGCTCAGAATATAGTCTTATCTTGGAAAAGTTCCATGCACACTTGATAAGATGACCTGTTCTGTTCTTGTTAGGTGGAGTGTTCTATAACTGTTAAGCAGATCAAGTTGGCTGGTCGTGTTGTTCAAGTTGCAGTTGTGGTTTTGTCTAATTCTCTTTGAAATTCTATTAGTTTTTGCTTCATGTATTTTATTAGGTACCTAGACATTCAGGATTGTTATATCCTCACATGTAATATGATTATTGATATAAACCGGTTTGGTTATATAGTCTGTTGTCTCTGTTTTCTATTTGTCCCATCTTTGTTTTCCTTTTTCTTCTTAGTCTTCCTTCCTTCTGATTGAGTACTTTTACTGGTTCCATTTTATATCTATTCTTGGGTTGTTAGCTATAACACTGATTTGTTATTTCAGTAGATGCTTTAGGATTTATAGTTTGCAACTTTAACTTATCATAGTTATCTTCAAGTGATATACCATTTACTTAGTGTATAAGAATCGTACAATGGGATACTTCCATTTCTCCCCTCTTGGTCTTTACACTATTGTTGCATTTTACTTTTACACAATACATTGTTATATGCATTGTATAAATGTTAACACATTTACTTATCCCACAATACATTGTTATTTTCAATTAAAGTTAGTTACCTTTTAAAGAGATTTAAGTAATGAAAGACAATATACAGTTACCACTTCTGGTACTCTCAATTTTTTTATGTAGGTGTACGTTTTATTTGCTGTCATTTTACTTCTGCAGAAGGGCTTCTTTCTTTAAAAACATTTCTTCTAGTTGGTAATGAATTCTTTGATCTCTTTTATACCTGAAAATGTCTTCATTTTACCTTTGCTTTTAAAGAGATTTTTGCTGTTTTTCCCCCCTGGTACTTTAAATATGTTCCTCCACTGTCATTTCATATTCTTTCCAGGAGAAATCTGATTTCACCCTCATCTTTTTTCCTCTGTATATGTATTTTTTTTTTTTTCCTCCCTTGCTGCTTTTAAACTCTTGTCTTTTTTTTTTTTTTTTTTTTTTTTTTTTTTTTTTTTTTTTTTTTCTAAGAAATATTTCTGCTTGTGCGTGATGACATTTTCTAAATTTTATTACAAAATACATGAAAGTAGCATTGTACTTTCCAGAAAAATTTAAAATCTTACATAATAATGTAATAAAATGTGTAGTTTAAAATTGTTTTTTTTTTTTTTTTTTGTCTTTTTCCGTGTCCGGCAACGGGATCGCAACCCTCGGTGTTGCTCCCGCGCCTCGCTCAGCCAGTGAGCGGGAACCGGTCTGTATGTGGGATCCGAACCCTCGGGCGGGAGCGCCGCTGCGCTTCCCAAGCGGTGCACTATCCAGTGCGCCACCGGGCCAGCCCCTAAACTCTTGTCTTTGTCACTGGTTGTGGGCGATTTGATTGTGATATGTTGTGATATCACTTTCTTCATGTTTCTGTGCTTGGGGATTGTATTAGTCAGGATTCTCTAGAGAGACAGAATCAATAGGATATGTTATAAATATATGAGAGGGGATTTCTTAGGGAAATTAGCTCACACAGTTGTGAAGAAAAATCCCATAGGCTGTCTGCAGACTAGATGCCGGTAGCATGGCTCAGTCCAAGTCCGAAGGCTTCAAAACCAGGGAAGCCAATGGTGTCTTTGGTGTAAGTCCTGGAACCCAAAAGCTGGAGAGTCTCAAGCTCTGATGTCCGCAGACAGGAGAGAAGAGTGTATCTCAGCTCCAAGAGAAAAGAGTGTATCTCAGCTCCAGCAGAGAGAGCTTTACCCCTTTTCTCTGTCTTAATTGTTCTCTCCGGGTCCCCAGTGGATTGGATGTTCCTGCCCAAAACATTGAGGTCGGTTCTTTCCCACCCAGTCCACTCAGGCTCTCATACTAATCTGCTGGAAACACCCTCATGGACACACCTACAAAGATAGCTTTACCAGGTTTCTCAGCATTCCTTAATCTAATCAAGTTGACACCTAAAATTAACCTTCACAGGGATCATTGAACTTCTTGGGTCTTGGGTTTATGATTTTCCATTAGCTTTGGGAAAATTCTGACCAGTATTTCTTCAACTACCCTTCTCCGCTTCCCCCAGCTTACTTCATCAATTCCTGTTTCTTGTGTATTAGGCTGCTTGAAATTGTCCACAGCTCACTGAAGCCTTTCATTTACTTTTAAATCTTTTTTTCTCTCTGTTTCATTTTATGTAGTTTCTGTGCCATACACACACACACGTGTATGGGGGGGGTATGCTATGTCTCTGTGTTCACTAATCTTTTTTTCCTGCAGTGCCATTAATTTAGTCCAGTATAATTTTCATCTCAAATATTGTAGTGTTTATATGTAGAAGTTCAATTTGGTCTCATTTATAACTTGCCTATCTCGATTTGTGTGAACATACAGTTATAAACTTTTCAGTGTTTTCTGCCAATTGTAACATCTTTGTCAGTTCTGAGCCAGTTTCAATTAATTATTTTCTTCCTTATGCATTGGATTTTCCTCAGACTCTCAGCTTTCTCCTCACTTCTGCCTTTTCTTTTTTTTTCCTTTTTGTCTTTTTTTACTGACCGGTAACATGATCGCAACCCTCG